CATCACTGTTCTTTATCTTTGCATAATACTCCATTGTGTGTATGTACCATAGTTTGTTTATCCATTCATCTGTTGAAGGGCACCTAGGTTGTTTCCATCTTTTTGCTATTGTGAACAATGCTGCAATGAACATGGGTGTGCATATGTCTATTTGTGTGACGGCTCTTATTTCTCTAGGATATACTCCTAGGATGCTGTCTGTGCTTTTGTTACTAGATAATTCATTGTTAAAAGCTAGGTGCAATGGTGTTGCTCCTGCATTTTCTTTTAAATATTTTATGGTCTTAGTTTGCACACTTAGGTCCTTAATCCATTTTGAATTTGTTTTCGTATATGGTGTGAGGCATGGATCCTGTTTCATGTGGAAATCCAGTCTCCCCAACACCATTTATTGAAGAGACTCTTCTTTCCCCATTGAGCAGACTTAGCACCCTTGTCAAGAATCAGTTGATCACAGATGTGTGGGTTTATTTCTGGACTCTCAATTCTATTCCATTGTTGTATGTGTCTATTGTTATACCAGTGTCAGACTACTCTGATTACTGCAGCTGTGTAATATGTTTTAAAATCAGGAAGTGTGAGTCCTCCTACTGTGTTCTTCTCTTTCAACACTGGTTTAGCTATTCAGGTCCTCAGAGCATTCCACTTTAGTTCCTTCCTAACACCTGACACTAGTGGAAGGCATTGTGTTTATTCATTAATGAGAGTGTTGTCTGTCCCTGCTTACTAAATATAAATCCCCCAGCAGCAGAGTATGACCTTCCTGTCCAGTGTTCTGTCCATCCCATTACTTAGAGGCGTGCCTGGCACACAACGTGCATGTGCTAGTTGTCAAATGAATAGGGAGAAGATCCTTGTAGATTTCCTATATGTTTAAAAATATCTAAAGCAATATTAACAGTTATAAAAGAACACGAATAAAACAAAGAGATGAAAAAACAGTATATATGCTTAAAGGTGAGAGAAATAGAAAATGGAGAGCAAAAGACAAATTTTCAGCTTATACAGTTTATCGACATTTTTGCTGTGGGCACTAAACTTGTCTGCTTTGATATTCTGTCAACAGATACCACAAATATTGAGGCAGATACTATCTATGTGGGTTGAGACAATCACCACTACCTCTATAAACATAAATACCTGAGTCAGTATAACTTAATCCTGTAAAACTATGAGTCGGTCTACATAAATCAGCGTATGTCTTATAACCCCAAACAAACTGCATAAAACAGCATATGTCTTATGATCTCAAACATGGCTAGAAGTGACTCTTGTAATTTTGAATCCCCCAGGATCTAGTATAAGGTCTTGCACATAGTGGGTATCTAGTAAATACCTGCTATGATATAAAAGAGGAGGGGGCACTAAGACTCACAATTCCTTGACAGTTACAAAAGAGCCAGGAAAGATCATGCAGAGAAATATGAAAACCCTATCAGCTGTGTAAGAAATATATTTAGGGGTCATTTCATTACCTGACATCTCCCCAAGAATTCTAATTCTAACAGTACCAATTCGAAGTAAATGACTGTTCTATTCATCGGGCCTAAAAAATCTGAATAGGTCTCACCCTTATCACCAACTACAGTTACATAATCATGGTTCTACTGTTCATGGCCCAGCTACAGAATGTCTTAATTTTAGGATATCTTGCTTCTCAAAGCACCTATGGAAACACTGCCCCTCTTTTATTATTAAAATACCAACAAACACATCCAACAAGTTTTATTTTTATTTTAAGACAAGAAAATGGCTCACATGCTCTTCATTCCTGAGACTTCTGGTCGACACTAGATCTTCTGTAAGTACCTCTTCCTGGGATAACAGAGTGCACCAAAGAAGCTGATAAGAAATATAGGCCAAAAGCGGAAGCAGGAGACATGGCTGAGAAACACCTTAGACTAAAACAACAGGCTGTTTATGGAACCTACTGGCAAACTCTGCTGCTTTCCCATAGCCTTGTGCTTCTTTAACAATGCTCTATGGTATTTATACTCTCCTGTCGAAAATCCTAATAGAAGCAATGGCCTCAAAGGCAGGTTAGCAAGTGTGAGAACCTATTTACTAGAAAAGGGCAGGGGCTGCCTGGCAGGTGGCAGAGTCTCAGAACTCCAATTGTTTCCTGTCCAATAGCCACTCACCTTTTTCTCCTTCTTGCCAAAGCTGAGGCCAGGGGTTCCCTTCTCAACAACTATGCATGAGATGCCTTTGGGGCCTGGTCCTCCGGTCCGGCACATGACCACGTAGATATCCGACTCACCACCACCACTAATGAAGGCCTGTGAGGTTGGAGATGGAGTGCACAGGTTTCAGGGATGCTGGAGTTCTTGGAGTCTGATGTCTGGGAGAACCATTGCGGTCCTCCAACAACAGAGTACTACAAGATATAAAGGCACAGAGAGACTGAGACGGGATAAAGTAGCTGCATTGACTGTGGGGAATTAGGGATCTAGCTGATTACAGTATAAAAAGGACAGACAAAATGAAAGCAATGATCTGGAATGAGATCAAAAGAGACAAAAACAGAGAAGGTGAATAAAGGGAAACAGGTCAGATGTTCCCTTCCAACATGTACAAATCCTATGGAAATAGTAACTCATAGAAGCCAAGGAGCCAGGGGGTTTCAGGAGGAAGATGGGAACAGCCTAGAAGTTCTGGGAGAATACAGCACATTTTGGTACCTTAGAGCCATTAAGGACATAATGATCTCCTTGCTGTTTAGCTGAGGTCAAAATGGATGCAGCATCACTTCCACTTTCTGAGGCAGAGAAACAAAGGGAGCAGAAAGGGTCAGTGAAGTCAAGGGAGCCCCAGTTCTGTTCTTTTTCCTAGGAAATCTTCCCATATAAATGGTTTAATTTGGTATTTTAAGATCCAGACTGCCAAAGGAATGCCTTTTAACTGGTGAAAACTGCTTACACCAACCAGACCACTTCCCATCTCCCAACATGCTGGCTTGCAGGGAGCCTGGAGAGACCATGACACAGAAGCCTGAGTGTTGTCACCTCAGGCTGCATATTGTTACCATAGGACCACCATTCTTGGTAAGCGATAGTCAGATGTGGGCTGAGCAGGAGTTCTTGGTGTCACACTCTCCTCCCCACTAACTCTCATCTGGGGATGGCACACCCACCTGGTTCAGTGAGGCAGTAGGAAGCAAACTTCTCCATGGTGCAGAGTGGGGGGCAGAATGTGTGCCTCTGCTCCTCATTTCCAAATGTGTCAATTATCCAGGCGCACATGCTGACAGGTACACCAATAGGAAGAAAGGATGATTGTCAGTAATGAAGATGGAAAAGGAAAGGAAATTTGGGGGGAAAAGAGAACAGAGGGCAGCAAAGTAGAGTCAAACAGAAGAAAAGTGGGAAGGGAAAATAATCACAATTAAGAAGATTCAACTTTAAAGGGAAGTACTGGATTAAAACATATTGCTGGAACATGTGCTACCCAGAGATAGCTGGGGCCAACAAATTTCTCACCTGGATGTTGATGCTACCTTCAATTAGGTTACACGAGCTCTCTAATAATCAGAGTTACATGTGCTTTCTGTTACTTCCCTCAATTACTAGAGGTTTCACCTGTGGGTGGAGGGAAAGCCTAACAGTGCCATGACCACTCTATGGGAAGTCTGTTGGTATCAGTTCAATCTACGACTTGGGAGAAGGCTGGCAAACTCAATTCTTAAGCAGTGAACTAGAAGACATCTTCAAGTCCAACAGGTGGCAGCAGACTTGGTGTGTACTAACAGCCTAGTTCCTCAAAAGCTATTAGTCTAAAGTACATCTTTTTCTTATGAATCTGAAAGTTCCTAATCAACTGAGTCAGCACTTCATTGTGCTCTCCAAGCTTGGGTACTCACTTGTGGATGCTTATGTAAGCTGTGGTGCTGGTGCAGCCTGTAGCCAAGGCTTCAAAGATGACAGAGGTATCAAGCCGTGACAGTCCAGACCCACCTACATCTGTTCGAACGTAGACCCCCCCAAAGCCTATCTGGGCTGCTTTCCGCATCACGTCTACTGGGAACAGTTCCTGCGTACAAAAGACAGCAGGCTCATCAGTAACTAATCCATAGATGGAGTTTTCTTGGGAGGATGCACGGAACGGATTAGGATGTTTGCATTTGGGAGAGTACAGGGATTCTTTTAATGTGGCTATTTATCATCTTACAATATCAGTTAAAACGCATTCTGTAAGGACTGGTTTTCTGACATTAAAAGGCTTCTTTTTATTATATATAGAGCTACTTGGCTTTAACCCGTTGCTGCCAAGTTGATTCCGACTCATAGCAGCCCTATAGGACAGAGTAGAGCTGCCCCACAGGGTTTCGAAGAAGCGGATGGTGGATTCCAACTGTTGACCTTTTGGTTAGCAGCTGAGCTCTTAAGTATGTCTAAATCCTTGTTCAATTAAAAAAAACGAAAAAAGATACTACAAGATGATGAGGATACCTCTGATAAAAGGAATCACCTCATAACCAGGACTCTGGAAGTCAGAGTTGGAATGTGGAGAGCAAACACTGAGCAGTTAGGATCATAAGGAGATAAGGGTCACTGTATGAGGCATCTACCAAAAGTAGAACTCCTACCTTCTGGTCCCACTCAGCCATATATGGAGCCATTTCCTGGGTAGCAAAATCAAAGGCCACTTTCTGAAATTCCTTCTGCTCTTCATTTAGTCCCATGGAAGCTGTGGGCAGGATTACATATACTCAGTGCCACGTCAGGGGCTAGGGTAGAGTTTCACAAACAAGAAGCACCAGGACATGGTATTATGAATGGGTTCTTTGTTATGTTAATGATGCAGGATTAGGGCAGGATGTATCTTGAGTCCATCTCTTTTGAGATATAAAAGAGATTAACCAAGCAAGTAAGCAGAGAGATGAGGTAAAATAGATGCCAACACAAATGGAAATCTCCAAGGAACCAGGAAGCAGAAGCTGAAAAGACAAGGACCTTCCTCCAGAGCCGACAGAGAGAGAAAGCCTTCCCCTAGAGCTGGTGCTCTAAATTCAGACTTCGAGCTTCCTAAACTGTGAGAAAATAAATTTGTTTGTTAAAGCCATCTACTCGTGGTATTTCTGTTACAGAAGCACTAGATAACTAAGACACAAGGCTACAGCATTTCCCATACACAGTACAGCCTTCAACAGAAAGAGGAAGACATTATCTAGCCCTAGTCAGTTTTTCTGATGCAGAAGGGGCAGTTCTGACTTGTACCCAGATCAACCCAGGACAGTATACGGCTACTTCCCAGATATCTCTACCCTAGCCACTTAGTAAAATACAGTTGAGGCCCAGACAGACAGTGAGAGATCAGCAGTGAGAAGAATGAAGCAGAAGAGGGATGCAAACAGGCCACAGAGAGCACAGTAGGTTGTGCAGGGTGTAGATACTGGTCAAATGTTGCCACCAGTTTCCTCCTACCTCAGCTGACCTCATTTCCTTCCAGCTACTTATTCTTTCAATACTCTTCTTTAGCTCTGCCTGCTCATAAATCTACATTAAAAAAATAATAAATACACACTGAGTCTCAAATTGTGGTAAACATTTTCCTCCTTTGGGTTGTCCTGTTTTTTTTTTTTTTTTTTTGTATCAGCGTCCTCCGATTCTCTTTAAGTACGTATTTTCATATCCATATGCTTCTGTACCAATACATTCATTTTAGAAGACCAATTGAGACAGTAAGAGATTTAGGAGAAATATATATATGATTCAATTCACAGTACCATTACTTTGCAGATTTTCTTTAAGTAGCCAGTTCCTCTACTGGCATAAACACAGAATTTAATTTTTACATACTTTTTAAAGACTGCATAGAGTGAGGCAGGACTGAATTAGAAAGTGGAGCTGCATGTCAACTAGTTAGTTAAGTGAGGACTAAAATACTTTTCATGTTTTGCAAGACGATGAAGACTTGTAGCTAGATACCGGCCAGAAGTTAAATGTCAGGAACCTAGGCAAAGCTCCCGTGAAAGGCAATCATCTTACGGCAAGGGCTAGTGCAGAGAATTTGAACAAGACAGGACCACAAATCCTGGGAGCCAGGTAACAGCAGTGGGGTCAGCAACCTGTACAGGACTAATCAGAGTCACGCAGCTTGCATTTGTCTTTTGCTGTCTCTCAGTACAATTGTTTTGAAAGGACAACCTGTCTCAGGGGTGCTAGGAAAAAACAAAGAAAGAAATGTTTGCCTATACTTGCAGAAACAGTGAAACTCTGAGGTACACTGGTGGCTGTAAAAATGCAAAGGGGGAAAGACAAAATGCAAGGGCTCTGTTACCTTCTGTTATGGGTTGAATTGTGTCCCCCCCTGCTAAATACGTATTATAAATTCTAACCCCTCTACCTGTGGTAGATCCTCAGGTCCAAAGGACGTGCTCTGCTCCCAAGCAAAAGCAGGATTCAAATGCAAAGCTGGGGGTGGGGGGAGGAAGCCCAGCAAAGGAAACAGGATTTTTAACGCAACACTGTAGGGGAGGAAGCCAAGCAAAGAAAACAGGAGTTTTAATGCAACACTGTGGGTTTCTGTCTCAGTGAGGGCTCAGAAAGGAGTAGAGCCATACAGAAATTCTCTATCATCTTAGGAAATACATATGGAACTGTTATGGATTAAACTGTGTCCCCCCAAAATATGTGTTGTAAATCCTAACCTCTATAATCAAAAACTCGTTGCCACTGAGTCGATTTTGACTCATAGCGACCTGAAGGACAGAGTAGAACTGCCTCATAGGGGTTCCAAGGAGCGCCTGGTGAACTCAAACTGCCGACCTTTTGGTTAACAGCCGTAGCTCTTAACCACTACACCATCAGGGTTTCCCTAACCTCTATGCCTGTGGTTAAAACCCCATTTGGAAATGGGTTGTCTATGTTATGTTAATAGGCAGGATTAGTGTAGGGTGTATCCTGAGTCAATCTCTTGAGATATAAAAGAGGTTAAACAAGCAAGTAAAAGAAGCAGAGATGGGGGAAGAGAGATGCCAAGACACATGAAGACTGCCCAGAAGCAGAAGCTCAGAAGAGACAAGGACCTTCGTCCAGAGCTGACAGAGAAAGCCTTCCCCTAGAGCTGGCACCCTGAATTCAGACTTCTAGCCTCTTAAACTGTGAGAAAATAAATTTCTGTTTGTTAAAGCTATCCACTTGGGGTATTTCTGTTATAGCAGCACTAGATAACTAAGACCCATAGCAACAGAATATTGCTAGACATGTGGATGTTAAATGTGCTTCTGGTGAGGCTTTAAAAGAAAATGATGAATGGTGACTGGACAGTGGAAGAAGGGCAATGCTTTTATGCGGTGACAAAGAACTTGTCTGAATTATGTTCAAATGTTTGGTGGAAGGTAGAACTTTTAAGTGATGAATCTGGATATTTGGTTGAGGAGATTTCTAAGTAAGATCTTAAAGTGACAGCATGGTTTCTCCTTGCTGCATATAGTAAAATGTGAGAGGAAAGAGGTGGACTTAAAAACGAACTATGCAAAATGAAAACAGAACTTGAAGATTTAAAATTCTGCTGTATAAACTAAAGATTTGTGTCCTAGGACTTTCACCAAAGTCGTGGCAATATAATCTTTCGTTAAAGAAATTAAGCCTATGACCACAGCAGAAAACCCATCAGCTTAGCCTGAAGGGGGCAAAGATAGGACAAAAGGAAGGAAAGCTCTCTCTCTTCCTCTTGGAATTTTATAGGCAAGAAACAGGCCAAAGCAGCTACATCTGTTGTTCTCCAAGAAAAGAAAAGGACCATCCCTGGAGCATCTCAGAGATCAGCAGAACTGTTGGAATAAGCACAGGAAGCAGTGCGGCCTCAGTTTCAAAGGGTGGAGTCACGGCCTACTAGGTTTCAAAGGGTGGAGCCACAGTCTCCTAGGTTTCAAAGAGTCAGATCTCCATTAACTGGGTCATGAGTATGGAGTTGCCATTCACGTAGGCCAAGAGGATGGGACCACTGCCCAAAGCTGAGGTGGCAGGGCTGAAATGCCGAGGGGGGAGGAGAATGGAGCCTACCAGGGCTGAGGTTGCCACTCAGATGGACTAGGCGAACGGGGCCACCCAGAGCTGAGGGGGCCATGCTTCCGTATCAGTAGCCCTGGAAGTTGGGGCCTCCACCGAGGGCTGAGGGGCCTACACCCAGCATTCAGAGACCACCTTGCCCAGATGGTCCTTAAGAACAGAGGATTTTCAAGTCTTGAGAGCTAATGTAATTTATTCTGCTGGGTTTTGGACTTGGTTAGGGCCCATTATCTCCTTTCCCTCTAATTTCTTATATTTGTAATGGAAATGTCTACCTTGTACCTGTTCCACCATTGTACTTTGGAAACAGATAACTTGTGTTCTAGATTTCACAGGTTCACAGACAAACAGGCATTTTGCCCCACAATGGAATATACCTAAAGTCTCTCCCATATTTGATTTAGATGATTCAGAAGATGAAATTTGGGACTTGGAGTTGGCTTAAGACTTTTGGGATGATATGATGGGTGAATGTGTTTTGCATGTGGGAAAGACATGAATTTTTGGGAACTAAAGGGTGGAACGTTATGGACTGAACTGTGTCCCCCAAAAATATGTGTTGTAAATCCTAATCCCTCTACCTGTGGTTATAATCCCATTTGGGAATGGGTTTTCTTTGTTATGTCAATGTGGCAGTATTAGTGTTGAGTGTGTCTTTAATCAATCTCTTTTGAGATATAAAAGAGCAGATTAAGCAAGCAAGCAAGCCGAGATGTGGAAGATACATGCCACACGGCTGCCAAGATACCGAGGAACAGAAGCTGAAAAGAAACAAGGACCTTCCCTCAGAGCGGACAGAGAGCGCCTTCCCCTGAAGCTGGTGCCCTGAATTCTAGCCTCCTAAACTGTGAGAAAATACATTTCTATTCATGGTATTTTTGTTATAGCAGCACTAGATAACTAAGACACCTTCTAAGGCATCATACTTTGTTGCTTCGATGCTAAAACCTTGGTTATTATGATGTGATGTTAAAGACCATTAAAGGAAGGTTATGAGGCCATACTCAACAATAACTTATTTCAGGGCTTAATAGCTATGAAGAGTCCTTTCTACAGAACACAAGTACAGGTGGCAGTTTATTCCCCTTGTGGTAGAATTGGGCATCAGTAACTAACTGCTGGTTGCGTGAGCCAAGAAAAAGCACTTCTCTCTGAGATTAGGACTCTCACTAAAAATGGAAAGTGAGAAATGAATAGTTGTGAGGATTAAAGATTAGGCTATCTTGAGAAGCCCTGAGCAGACACCTATATTGGGTATTACTCTCAGGAATATGGTAAGGGATAACAATTAATGGTTCCCCGACTGGCAATCAGGCCATTTATTCACATAATCTTGCACAAGTGCTGCTGTTGATCACGGCTCAAAGATCATTCACAAAATAGTATTTACTGAGTGTCTACTATGTACCACTACTGGGGTAACAAAGATGAATATGGTTCATTCATACAAAGGATGACATAAACAGTAATAATGCAAACATACTACTGTGCAAAGAGAAGTGCTACAGAATTTCCATCCTAGCAAGAGCTCAATAAATGTTAACCATTGTAATTATTCCATAGAGTAAATGGCTACTTCCTAAAGCAAGTAGTTCAAGGAACCAAGGTGTCTCAGTTATCTAGTGCTGCTATAACAGAAACAACCACAAGTGGATGGCTTTAACAAACAGAAGT